AAGAAGGAGGTAGTTGTGTGCTCCACAGAGTCAGGAGGCCTTACCTGGTACGGCTGCCTCCTGATGGGACACCTGGCTCAGAGTCTTATTGTTGTTTCAAGTCCATGAAAGAACAAGAATGTTTAGTGAAGACGCACCGTTAGTCAGCGTGAGGCCGAGCAGAGAGATGAAAGCTGTTTTCACATTTATTACCAGCGGTGTAGACATGGTCAGAGACGGTGAAGGGTCACATGGCTGCTGACTGACGGTGAGTTTCTCTGCAGGACGACTGAAGCTGACGGCCTGAGAGACGACGGAGGACGTCCAGGACGTCCAGGGCGTCGGCCAACACCCTGAGCTTTTATCACCTTCCCAGCCGGAGACGAAGGAGCAAAGACTGATGGGACCTTTACGGATCGGAACAATCTGAACCAATCCTTAGCTCTGTCATCTGTTGGCAGAACACATGGCCAAACGTCTGGAGTGCTGTGATGACTGATGCTGTAGTGACTCTGAGAATCCACTGGAGCCCCAGAAGCTCTGAGCTCCTCCGTCTGGACTCTGATCCTCACTAACACCTTCCCTCATTCCCACAAATCAGTATCTGCTTTCCAATCACAGTATTTCTTTTGTTTCTTTGTAAAGTTGCACTTTATACTGACAGATTATTTTCCAGATGTGGCTGATTCTAATATATGCATATTCTGGTTCTATATTTATGTTTGACATGCTTTAATCTTGCTTTTGGTTCATTCTGGTGCACATGGCATTTTTAGGATGATTTTTAACATTTTGGGATAAAAATTCAGACTTCTGACTAAAACTCTGATTTTTTTCCTCCAAAGAATTGAGATTAATTTTTTATGTGTCTTGAATCTTCTGATGCAGCGTCTGTGTCTCGCTGTTCGTCTTCTGTTTTCTTTGTTTTATTTGGATTTAGCTGAATGTTGGTGGAGGATGCAGCCACAGTAGAAACAACTGTTGGGGATTTTAAAGTTTTGAGACAAACAGAAAATCAGATTTATGATTTAAGTCTCTGAAATGTCCTCTAAAAACGTCATTTCTGTGTCTGGATCCTCTTCCAGAGGCCGCCTCTGTGTCCTCCATGAACCCAGTTTCTGTCTTCTCTTTAGTTTTATTTGGGGTTTTCTTTCTTTCCGGTGGAGGATGAGGGCAGATGAAACATTCTGGAGAGTCGTGTTCTTAAAATCTGGAGATAAAAATTCTGCTGTTTTTGAAATGTCAGATTCAACTCTTTGTGTCTTGATCGTCTCCTGCACTTTCCTGAGGCCATCGATGTCCTCACCTCCATCTTTATTTTATGTTTTTTTATTTCTCGTGGAGGATAGGAGAACAAGGAAGTTAAATCTTTACAAACCGACAGAGGAGCGTTGCCAGAGGCCGTCTCTGTGAGCTCGCTGGTAGTTTTTGTTCAGTTCTGGTGGAGGATGCGTTTTACATCCAGCTGAACATACAGTTCTTGTTTTTCTTCTAACACTGATAAATCTCATGTCTTCATGTGTAGCGTGTCCTTGTCTGTAGTTTCTGGAGGCTCCTGACCTCCTTCCTCCAACAGGGTACTCCACTGATACCAGGCTGCCCGACAGGACGCGAGCAGCACCAGGAGTTCTGTCCGGTGCCGTGCTTGTTATGTTTCAGTCTTCTCCTGCTCCTGTGGATGTTGGTTTTATTTCACGCAGAGAGGACAAACCTTTGTCTTCCTTCAGCTTGTTGAAGAACAAAAAGATGCTCAAATACTCTGAACTCTACTATTTCTTCTCGGCTCCTGCTGTGGTCACGTCACCAACGTAGGAAACCACCGGTGACCTCTAGCCTCAGACAGAGCCGCTGTGTAGCCGCCGACCCGGTGCTGAGCATTGCGAAGGAAGCCGTTAGCTGTAGTCGTAGTGAACAGGAATGCTTAGAGCGCTGCTGTGTTGTGGAGCTGATGATCAAACCGTCTGCTTGCTTTGTGGCTGTAGATCTCTACAGCTTGTTTTTTTGTATTTCCTTTTTAATAAACACGACAAAACAAACACCCGTGTTGTTTCTTTAAAGGAGCAAACCGACAGCTTTGCTTCTATTGGCAGCGTTCAGATGTCAGTCTGTCTGTTCTGATGGTTTTAGATGTTCCATGAGGTTCCACAGCTCCATCGCTGTCCGACTCGTCCTCTGTACACAACATGATGGGAGTGAGTAGCAGCTCTTTCAGGTCTGTTGTGTGTTCCATGTTTTCATTCTGGTGGAGGATGTGGGCTCGTAGCATTTCTTAGTGTGGATTGTTCCGATTTTGAGATAAAAATTTAGACTTCTGACTAAAATCTGTGGATGCTTCTGTGTCTGGAATCCTCTCCTGCAGCTTTTCTGAGGCAGTCTCTGTCATCTCTACATATTTTAAGCTTTCCGTGTATCTTCACAGCATTAAAGTAGCGTGTGATGGTTCGGATTAGGATCAGGGATCATCTGTGGCGACTGCATGACAAACCAAGAGCAAAAAATGTTCTGTCACCGACTGACACCAGGCTGCAGCCGCCACACTCCGTTTGAAATGATTCAGTCCAGATGTGAAGCTTTAACTTGAGGAGTTGAACTGTTTCTGGAGCCCAGCCCTGACTGAGCAGGTTCCTGCTATGACATGAATTTATTGCTGGAATAAGAACAGTTTCTGCTTCACCCCCTGACTTGCTCTGATTTCACTTCTTTTTAAACATATATTTAAGTCCCCAATCATCAGAGACGGTTTCATCGACCTGTACAATATCACAGATACTTAATGACATAACGATGAAAGTCTGCTTTTAGCTTTAATCATTCCTCAGATATTGTTCAGCCTCAAATTTCAATGTGCAAAAAAAAAAAATCTGCTGAAGGTGAGTTGATGGGAATTTTTTAAAAAGTACAAAAGATCGAGGGAAGAACAGAAAATGTCTGTTTAATGTTCCACAGGTATATTTTACATATCCATAGTTTAAGATTTTAAAAAACCAAGCTGATGGAGCAGCTGCAACGGTTTGATGTAAAGCTGAACGAATGTGGAGATGGTTTAAGAACATCTGACATCACTGCCTTTCAGACGTTGGAAGGATTTAAATCAGGAAGTGAAGTCCTGACAGAGACCACGCCTACATTCTCCCGTTAATTTCTTCAGTGAAGACATTTGCATCAAGTTTTAGACGTGCTGATGTTGCAGGAACAACACAACGGCCAGTGAATCAAAGCAGCGACTCACAGCTCCGGGAGTCGGGCCACGAAGCATGAAGGATGCTGAACACCTGGTGGAGCCTGATGGGAGGTCCACCTGTTCACCAGTGTTGGGGAACATCGAGCACTGACGGCCTGGTTAGCTGTGAACTGATGGAGGCGTGGGGATGCTTGATGCTGTTATCTTGGTTTATCAGACAACACCTGCGGTCACCTGTTCAGGTGGAGAACAGCTGAGCGGAAACACAAAACAACATCACGTCTGGTAATCATCAGTTCAGCTGCTGATGTGCAGACGGAGCCGGTTTCAGGCGAGTCTGACTCTGTTGCTGCTCCAAACCACTGACCATGAACTTCCTGTTAAAGACGTGTTGGACAGTTTCCTTCTTTCATCTGATCAGACAGACAGAAAAATGTTTGCAGTTTGTAGAATAATCAGAGGACGATGATGGGTTTGGTTTGTTCAGCGTCCTTGTTCAGACTCTAATGAACACGATGTGCTGATGGATTTCATATTATATAAATAAAGAATCACTGTTGCAGCTACCAATAATGTTTCAGATAAAACCCTCACTGGGTCTTTTGATGCATTATTTACATTTCAGTGAGGAGTTGGAGCTGCAGCTACTCTGGTGGAAAACTACATGATATGGGTTGAACTGGTCCTTTAAAGCTGTTTCAACCAGTAGAACCTGTAGGAGTGCAGGATGTCAGAGAAGAAGAAAAAACACTGTAGGATGTTAGAAAAGCGTCGTAGTATCATATGATGTAAAATAATCATAGTATAGTATGCTCAAAAAATGGAATAGTATAATATGTCGTCACGTCGCCGATAGTACGTCACACAATGTCAGAATATCCATCCATC